TATATAAATATATATATATATATATATATATATTTATATGTATGCATATATATTTATATATATGTCTCTGTTTTTTTTAATCTTCCGCCGTCTTCGTTTGTTTTATTTGTCGTCTTTTATTATTATTATTATTATTATTATTATTATCTGTCTGTTTACTAATGATTTGTTTTACTAATTATCTGTTTTATTTATTTATTTGTTGTTGCTGCTGCAGCGCCGTTCTGCAGCAGCAGCAGCAGCAAATGAATTCCCCTCCGGCAGCGACTGGTACTGTCAAGAAGCAATCAGAGCTGTTAATCAGGTCAGACTTCTGCTGCTGCTGCTGCTGTTGCTGCTGCTGCTGCTGCTGCTGTTGCTGCTGCTGCTGATGATGATGATGCTGGTGCTGCTGATGCTGCTGCTGCTGCTGCTGCTGATGATGATGATTCTGGTGCTGCTGATGCTGCTGATGCTGCTGCTGCTGATGATGATGGTGCTGCTGTTGCTGTCGGTGCTGGTGCTAGTGGTGGTGCTGCTGATGCTGATGCTGTTGCTGCTGCTGCTGCGGCTAATTGTACTGCTGCTGCTGCTAATTGTGCTGCTGTTGCTGCTGCTGCTGCTGCAGGCTGTAGGGCGGGTCTGTCGTCATAGCGAAGACTTTGGGTTGGTAGTCCTCGCAGATGCAAGGTAAATGTCTATTTATTTATTTATTTATTTATTTATTTATTTATTTATTTATTTATTTATTTATTTATTTATTTATGCTTTAGGTTTGAGCAGCCTCTGCTGCAGCGCAGTCTGTCGGGGTGGATTCGAGATTCGCTGTCTGCTGCGATGGAGTTGAATGCAGCAGCAGCAGCAGCAGCAGCATTTTTTGCTGCTGTGCCGCAGCACCTGCAGCAGACGGCCAGCAGCAAAGCAGCTAAAGAGACGGGGGCCCCTCTACCTTCACTTGCTTTTGATTGGTGTGCTGTAGAGCGCTTGAGTAGAGCAGCATCTCTGCTTGACCGCAGCAGGTTTGCTGCTGCTGCTGCTGCTGCTGCTGCTGCTGCTGCTGCTCCTGCTGCTGCAGCTTCCGCCGAAGACGTGAAGCAGCAGCAGCTGCTGAAGGGCTTACACGCTAAAGCCGCATGCTCGCAGCAGCAGCAAACATCAGCACAAGACAGCAGCACCGCAGCAGAGTCGCATACTGCTGCTGCTGCTGCTATTGCTGCTGCTGCTGAAAGGAGGCGTTTGCTGCTGCAGCAGCAAGGCTCGCGGCCCCTTAAAAGGAGGGCAGCAGCAGCAAGCAGCAAACGGCCTGCTGCTGTCTCTCTCGTTGACTGGACAAATGCTGCAGTGGGGTTTGCTGCTGACTCCAAACAAGCAGCAGCATCAGCAGCAGCAGCAGCACCAACAGCAGCAGGAGCTGCAGCAGCAGAAGAGCAGCAGCGGCACACAGCACCGCAAGAGAAAAGCAAAGGCTTTGGAGCAACTGAATGCGACGGCTCCACACACAGCAGCAGCAGCAGCAACAACAACAACAACAACAGCAGCAGCAGCAGCAACAGCAGCAGCAGCAGCGAAGCAAGCAAGGAGTTAGCCCGCGACACCGGAAGGCAGCTGCTGCGGCGTCTGAAGGAAGAACTGCAGCAAAACTTTGCTGCCTTTTGCATTTTGCTGAAACAACTCTCCGCTGTCAGCACTCAGCAGCAGCAGCAGCAGCAGCAGCAGGAGACCCGCAACACCAAAAGTAGAAGCAGCAGCAGCAGCAATTTCCGAAGGGCAGAAGCAGCACGACAATACGCCGCTATCGTTGACGCCATGTGCACTGCTTTGCTGCAGCCTCAGCAGCAGCAGCAGCAGCAGCAGCAGGAGCAGCAGCAGGAGCAGCAGCAGGACTGGGAAGCGCTGCTTGATTTGCTGCAGCGGCGCACTGCTGTTCTTCGTTTTATAATTAACACATATGTGGGGCCCCCTTTTGCTGCTGCTCTCCTCGAGCACGTAGCAGACAGAGGAGACGCAATACTCAGACAAGCAGCAACCAAACAGCAGCAGCAGCAGGAGCAGCAGCAGGAGCAGCAGGAGCAGCAGCAGGGGTCAGCAGCAGCTACGCAAGCAGCAGTCGTTGCTGCTCCTTCAACAGAGTCGGCAGGTGAAAAAAAAGAGGAAGCCGATGCTTCGGCTTCTCTGCAGCAGCAGCAGCAGCAGCAACCGGAACAGCAACAGCAGCAGCGGGAGCAACAACAGCAGCAGCAGCAGCAGCAGCAGATGTCTGAGTGTTTAATTTGCACTGCCGAAAAACGACTGCTCCGCTCCGTTGTCTGCGGCCATGAGGCCTGCGAGGTGTGCTGCTGCTGCTGCTGCTGCTGCTGCTGCTGCTGCTGTTGCTGTTGCTGCTGCTGTTGCTGCTGCTGTGCTTCTTGATGGTGTTTCAATTGCGGCGGCTGCATCGGAAGCTGTTGCTGCTGCAGATGTTGTTGGGGTTACAGCAGTATGTGGTGCTGCTGCTGCATTTCCATGTGTTGCTGCTCCTGCATGCTTTGCTGCTGCTGCTGTTGCTGCATGCGTTGCTGCTGCTGCTGCTGCTGCTGCTGCTGTGATGCGTTCGAAGGATTGTTGGGGGCGGCAGTTGGCTTTGGTCCTCGAATGCCCTATCTGCAGAAAAAGAGTAAGACACAAATTCTTGCAGCCCCAGCAGCAGCAAGAGCAGCAGCAGCAGCAGCAGCAGCAAGAGCTGTAGCAGCAGCAACACCAGCAAGAGATGAAGCAGAAGCAAGAGCTGTAGCTGCAGCAAGAGCTGCAGCAGCAGCAGTCAATCGTTTTTCTATATTTCATACGCCTGGTCTCTGAAAGACCACTACCAGCAGCAGCAGCAGCAGCTGCAGCAGCTGCAGCAACCTGCAGTGTCAGCAGCAGCAGCAGCAAAGGGGGAGACAATCTGCTGCTGCTGCTGCTGCTGCTGCATTTAGGTGCCTGTGTTTGGCAACCCATCGACCCGAATCCCCACAATTCTGTTTTCAACTGCTGCTGCTGTTGCTGCTGTTGCTGCTGCTGCTGCTGCTGCTGCTGTTCCTGTTGCTGCACTCGACACTAGCTACACTAGCCACCCTTGCTGCAGCGGCAGCAGCAGCTGCTGCTGCTGTCTACCCCGTCTACAATTTATAATGTGTTGCTGCTGCCATCAAAGCGTTAATACGAACAGCAGCAGCAGCAGCAGCAGCAGCAACTACTGCTGCTGCTGCTGCTACTACTACTAGAGAAGCCTCTGGGAATGTCGAGGAGCCAAATCAAATTTGTTGTTTTGCTGCAGTCGTGCAAAAAAAGTGCTGCTGCTGCAGCAGCTGTGTTGCTGCAGCAGCAGCAGCAAAACATCTGTTGCTGCAGAAGCAGCAGCAGCTATTGGTGCTGCATTTCTGTGCTTTCGCCGCTAGGCGGGTGCTGCTGCCGAGTCAGCGGGTTCTTGCTGCTGCTGTGGCTGCTGCTGCTGCTGCTGTGGCTGTTGCTGCTGCTGCTGCTGCTGCTGCTGCTGCTGCTGTTTTTCTTTCTCTCTCTGCTGCAGAAATTCTTCGTAAGACATTTTTACGTCTACGCTGCCGCTGTGCAGCAAAACGAATTCCCTCGTACTCCGCCCAAAACGCAGCGTGTCGCCTTCCCTACAGCAGCAGCAGCAGCAGCAGCAGCAGCAGTTGCAGTAGCAGATGCAGCAGCAGCAGATGCAGTAGAGGCAGGAGCAGTAGACGCAGCAGCAAAAGCAGATGCAGATGCAGCAGCAAAACGTGTTGCGCTGACGGCGCTAGCTAAACGATTAGGGTTTAGGGTTTAGGGTTTAGGGTTAATGCTTCAGGGTCTACTGTTTCGTGCTCAGAGTTTAGTGTTTAGGGTTTATACTTTAGGGTTTATTATTAAGGGTTTATTATCTATTATTTATTATTTAGGGTTTAGGGTTTAGTGTTTAGGGTGTATAATTTATTATTTATAATTTAGAGTTTAGGGTTTATAATTTAGGGTTTATTAAATATAATAAATAATTTATAATTTATAATTTAGGGTTGACTATTCACTATATATAATTTATTATATATAATTTAGGGTTTAGGGTTTAGGGTTTAGGGTTTAGGGTTTAGTAACCTGAGTTCTACATATCTGGCGGTTTGAATTTTTTGGTCGTTGAGAAAAGAGCCGTTAGTACTCTCCAAATCAATTAAGTAGGGGCTGCATGCAGACAAACAGTTAACTCTGCATGCAGACAAACAGTTAACTCTGCATGCAGACAAACAATTAACTCTGCATGCAGACAAACAGTTAACTCTGCATGCAGACAAACAATTAACTCTGCATGCAGACAAACAGTTAACTACATAAAGAAATACACGCATTATACTTTAGTAGAGTTATCTATAAATATATATATATATATATATGTAATG